TGTCTATGTGTGTGTCCATGGCACCCGCGACACAGGGTTTCCCTAGTGCGGGGTTATGTTGAGTGTGTGCGTTATTATTATTATTAACATAGGTATCGATATTTTTCCTGAAGCCAGTAAACTAAAAATATTCTTACAATACATCTTTTAAGATAAATGTGACGTATTGAACTTTAAAAAAAGTCCAGTAAAAAGTATAGAGATGGGATCGTCTGCTCCTAGATGACGACGGAGAGAAAGGAGTTCAAAACATTAAGGTGCTCTGCTAAGACTACCAAGTGTTCACAAAAGGTGAGTTTTTAGATTTTGTATTTATATACCTATCTATTTTATTCCACAAATTGACGCTGAACAATGTATGTGTACATTACTGTTTTTTCAAATATTTTACTAACTGTGACTGCGATAAAAAAATACCGCCTATGTATATCGATTATTTCATGAAGAAAAAAGTCGACATTTTGGCATATCAATATTTTTTACCAATCCTATTGAGTGTTTGCAGATGGTTACATTTCTTAGATTATTTTGTAACTTTTGACTTTCTCGAGGAATATTGTAACTTTTATTTTTAAGGTGTTTTCTTATAACTTTTGAGGATGTTAGGATTTTTTAAATTCAGCTCTATTTGTTATTAAGACTCCTAAATAATTTAAGAACGCACTCCAATTAAGCAAAAAAAGTTAGCAATGTCTTACGTTTTTGTTTTTTTGGTGTCTAAACCTTAGAGAATGGAAAATTTCCATAGTCGAAGGTCTAAACATATATATATCGTTGATAATTAGAATATTTAGTTTAAGAAGAATTTGTAAAATGTTACTTTCATTTTGTAAGTCAATGGTTACTTTTGAAGCGAAATTTCTTATGTAATTGTCTATACTCAAGGGCCCTGGCAACACTGATCCTAACTGTCACTGTCGGTAACTCGGTGTCATTTTCGAAACAAAACGGTTTTGGAGCGAAAGTGCAAAGCGTCTTTATTGGTTCAATTGGAAAAGTAAAAAAATAATTAAGTGTTAATACTAAAGAAGTGATTTAAAACTAAAATGCCTCCGACCGATGCTAAAGCTCCACCGCCCGTGACTGCTACGAAACCAAATCCGCATAACAATCCCGCTATGTTCAAGATATTCCAAAACGTCCAATATAATATTGTTCAGCATAAGAAGTATGTGAAAGAAATGAAAAAGCTGTACAAAAACGTGAGTATATAACTTATCAGAAGTAAATTTTCAAATCCAATTACTAGTATTTTTTACATTTCGCGCACGAAATCAAATACTATAATTTAAAATTGTGGAACTGAGAGTACACGATTTGAAAAATTAAACCAATTTATTTATTCCTGTTTATAAATACATTATTAAGTATTTTATGTAAATAAAAATAACCGTGTTATTTGCAATAAGATCCATTCGGTTTTTTTTAAATTTTCAATTTGTGTGTTAATTGTCATGGCCCTGTTTACTCTTAAAAAAACTATAATTCTAAAACTATAATTCGCAGCCCTTATAAGTCAGATGGAAAATATGCTTTTAAAATGTTTATCACTATCAAGTGACTGCATTTACGAGTCGCTGCTTCAAAAATAGTGGCTTTTACAAATATTTTTCATTTTTAATCTCATTACAACAACAAATTTTATTGTGATAAGGACACCAAGCTTTGTATTATTTAAAATAACTATGTGTGAACATGAACCTGTAACCAATTTGTCTGCTTTACATTTAGATATTCTGCAGTTGTTTTTAAGTCATCTTCTTGATGATTTAAGTGATTTTGTTATAGGCTACTATTCTAGATAGCCATCGCAATGTGCCTCGCGATAAACAGCACTCTTGTTCAGTTGCAATGCTACTCAGAGCTTTAAATTAAATTACAATAATATTTAATTTAAATTAAATAGATATGTGGCGGAATGTAATGTTAAATTATTATTGAGTTTATACTTAAATAAATTTTATTTATTTAAATCGCAAAGTGTAGAAGGGCATCGTCTCTGCACCCATCACCCTGAGATATAAAGTTGATAAGTTCCATGTGCTTGTAGTTTCACAAGTACAGACAGGGTCAAGAGCACATCAAGCTTAACATTTGAGATTTGAGAATTATTCCCACTATAGCCTCGCCATGGCGCGGTGCTCCTGAACCGTATGTGCTTTTTTAGTTTGTATTTGTTAGGTGACATGGCCTTGGATTTCGGCTGGCGTTGGTGAGGCACTTTTATGTTTCCCTTCCAGTACCGCCGGGTTTAGGTTATTAGATTTAGAGAAAGAAAGATCATTAGTGTCCATATTACTATGTGTTTTCACTCACTCTTCTGACTTCCCTTCATCACGGTGCCCGCACCTTTGGGGATGTTGGGGGTGCAGAAGTTAGGAGCTCACTGCGCGACATCGGGGGCTCGAAATGTGCGGCTGGCTGACTTGATCAAAGTCAGCCAGTTGTTCCGCACATACTCACCCCGCCAGCATGGCCGAGTCCCCCCCCCCCCCCCGCCTGTGGCCCTCTGACGGGACACAATGCCATTTCCCTGTGTTGGCTAATCACAGCGCTCAACTGTGTAAGCATTAACGCAGGAGTGTAAATTTAGACCCACCACTTGCCATCGTCCACCCCCAGAAACGTATGGCCGGGCCATGTTGACAGACTGAAGCCGAGAGTTCTCAGTGTTAGCCCCAGGGTGTACCGGCTACATCCTTGGGCGTTCTGTGACAAGATGTTATCACAGACTGCTCAAGAGTCCTTGAACTCCACGCGTGTGAAGTCTCACACGAGTGGAGGTGGAACAACTAACACACCCCTGCCACTGACCTAATAATATATATAATTATTATTACCATTTTTTGCCAGTTCAATGCATTCAGTATATGTATATATGTATATATATATTTGTGAAACACAGCTCGATGAAGACTCATTCCGGAAAAGCTTCAAAAATGCTCTACTCTACTTATTTACATTTGGCGATACAAGCGCCAATGTTGACCGAGTGGTCCAGTTTGTTGCTACATTCTGCACTGCATTGGACGATGAGGAAGAATTCTTGCTCTTTATATTTGATATCATCTTTGATGTGAGTATGAATATTTTCTGTAGTTATATACTTAACGTCGACAACCTTGACAGCCCAATGATTTACATTGTGAGTGCTGGATGCAGCAGTACCTGGTTCGATTCCTGATGGGACCAACTATGTTAATACACAATATTATGTGGTTTGTATTTATTGTGGATCACTCAGAGAAGTTTTTCAACTGACCGCATACGTTCAGAGTTCGCGCAGAATTATGATTATATTTATTTTGACAGGAAGTCTGACAATAATCTAATCAGGGTTTTCACACAATTAAAAACATGTTTAATATCAGATCTTTATTGCCCTGTTACATGTCAACCCTGTAGAATTTTGATACTTTTTTTCATAAATTAAAAAATAGTTTGTAACTACCTACATAATTTAAAACTAACATGGTTTTTGTACGCAAATATCCATTAATCAGGTCAGATTATTGGCCATGATCTTTGCATTAGTTGTTTTTTACAATTCAAATGTATGTAAATTTGCATAAGTTGTTACTTTGGATGTCCAGAATACAGAAAATGAATAACTATTAAATGAAAATTGAAAGACAGCTAAGTGCAAATTCTTTAACCTGTTTATCTTATACTATTAAATTCTATTTGTGTATATTGTATTAGTAAATTTGTAATTTTCGATACTTATACATAAATAAGGGTAAAAGATACCACATGTAAGCAATTCGGAATTGTTTTATTAGCTTGACCTGTTTGGCATTTTACCTGTGTTTGGGAAATTTTATTTCATAAAGTATGTATATGTTCCTCCCAACTACTTTAGTATCCAAGGTTGCTATAGGTGAAATATTTCTTTTGCTAACAATAAGTAGTTGTTTTTTTAACACCAACATATTTTCAGTGCCAATGTGTGTCTGGGCAGTCAGTCAGATATAGAGCCAGTCAGTTGCTGGCTGCAGTACTTTCTGCACTTGGTGAGGATGCCTCTCTTGATGATGACCTATGTGACAAGCTTCTGTCTTCACAGGTAAATATCTACTTTTAATATCTTATCTCTAAGCTCGATTAAGATCTAAAAAACAGGCGTACACTGATATATCCCTACTAACATAGTGATTCACCACATTTTTAAGGCTGGAATCGCCGAATCCGTTGAGGGGCAGGGACAAAAGCCAAATTAGGCATCATCCAGCTGATATATTGCGCTTCAGTCGTGATCTGATTCCGTTAGGTTCTACTGGTTTTGATAAATGTTACTCGTACTTAGTATACTATAGTTTTGTATATAAAGCGTTATATAGACATATTATAACAATTCTTCAGAAAAGCAAGTAGTTTTATGGGAGGGGCCAGCCAATTTGGATATTAGTTAAAAAGTACATACTTCACTTTTCCTAGTAAATAATAACGCACACACTCAACATAGCCCCGCACTAGGGAAACCCTGTGTCACGGGTGCCATGGACACACATATAGACAACTACAAATTACACCCAAACTCACGAGAGAAATAAATGTAGACCATGCAAATATTTCTCCCGGTCCGGGGATCGAACCTGGGACCTCTGCGTGTCAATCCGGCATAGTACCCTTGCGACCACGTAGGCAGTTATATATACATTATGTTTAAAAAAGAGAAGAAGCTGAGTACATCCATTCAATTTGAAAAGTTTAAAGTGTGGGCAGTTTCATTTACTATATGAAAGTTTATGTGGACTTCCAGATCAATTTGTAAAGTACTGTCACATATGTATAAATGTTTTCCTCTTGCAACCGAATTTCGGTCGTAATTACGAGTGTGAATCGGTAGACATTTTGCTTCGTCGTGTAGCACAAACCCTCGCGGACTTTTATATGAAATCGAATGCAGCGTAAATTACTTGACTCAAATAACACGACTCACAAGATTATGCCAGTCTGGCCTCGCCCTAAACTCATTAAAGAGTGTTTATAATTGACATTAAAACAGATTTTAATTTGTGTAATATATATGTAGTTTATGTCCTGTTCTTGACCACAACAACTTATCACCCAATTAAAAACAAAGTTTAGGGCAAAATCTAATCTCAAAATATGATATCTCAATGTTGTATGTAACACCAGATGCAAAGACTGCAAGACACACGCGGTGCCGTCCGCTGCCGCGCGGCACTCGCTCTGCAACGGCTGCAGAATCCACCCGATGATGACGTCACACGTGCCTATCGCTTCCACATGAGTTGTGATCCTAGCTCTTCGGTGCGAAGGTAATTAATAAGCTTTACAAGATAGAATAAGGTGACAACTTAATGGTGGCTATAGAAATGTGGAACATTCTGGAATGAGATGAGTGCGAGTAGATGACATTGTCAAAGTCGTGGGCCGTAGATAGGTGAGACTAGCGCAGGATCGTGGTGGATGACACAAATTGCGGGATGCCTATACTCAACAGTTGGCGAAATCATACTGTGGTTTTGGCTCTTTTTAGTTATTGCACAATTTTATTTCGGTTTAAGTTATGTAGTAATGTCCTTAAATTGTAGAAGCTTAATAATTAAATAGATCAAGTATGTCGGTGTTTTTTTTATGAAAAAGTTAATAACTAACAATGTTCCAATATTTGGCTGTTGATTTTATTTTCGGTGTCTATTTTCAGAGCAGTGTTAATGTCAATAGCGAAATGCAAGAACAACGTGCCTTTCGTGCTAGAGCGACTCTGCGATGTAGACGAGGCTGTACGCCGCGCCGCGTTTCTTTACATGGCCGCCATGCCTGTCACACAATTAAAAGTTACACAAAGAATGCTTACACTTAAAGCGAGTACCATTTTATTATATTTATCTAGGTTAAATTGCACTGTTATTTTATTCTTGAGCAATAAATTTCTAGAAAGCAGGTGAAAATTGGCGCTAGTAACCCCCCTCTATTGGCTCAAATCCCTTTTTTTATCCCGATAATGTTACATCATTCACATCCAAAGTCAAATAATCATTCATTCCATAGGTAAAACTTTTACGCTTGTAAACGACATTTTAACCTACTGCTCGTTCACTGCGCTGACCTCCCTGAGAAGAACGAGCAAAAAACTCTAGGGATTGCTCTTTTCAAATAAATTTAAATGCTATGGAATACATTTTGAATCAAATTGTGTGGAATCTAGACTCATGTTGTCTTTCCATACATCTTTATCTACACATACTTTTCAATTAAAGTACTTTTAATGTACATTTAAAATTTTTGACGTCTTCAGATACTACTTGAAGACGGTCACTTTCCGAAGCTCTGATCGAAATTCTGTAGCTTGCTTTCGGGAGGTGGGCAACTGAACCCTAATTGACTATGGCTTACACATTTATTTTTGTTACTGTAAGTATATGTACAGTCAACAGCACATCATGCTATACACTTTTGTTCAAATATCGCCTCTAGTGCAAAAGAACAAGATCCTTCAATGAGTTGATGTCCTCGGTACAATATGCATAAATATACGTATCTCATCAAGAATAATCAATCAACCACTGAAACAGTAATGGATACAAGTTAATTTTATTTATTTCTTGTTTCCAGGTGGGTCTAACTGAACGCAGTCCTCGCGTACGTCGCGTCGTCGAAGAAATCTTAATACCTGGCTGGCTAAGCACTTTCCACGGAAACATCATTGATCTGCTCAAGGCCATTAGGTTGGACAACTCGCACGACGCCAAGGACTCGCAGTATGTTGCTGGGAAACTGTTGGAATCCTTGTTCAAGTTAGTAGGCATACTTTAATTTTATTCATTATTGATGGACATTCACCTCCACCTTAAGTGCCCCATACTACCTCGTGCGTTCATATAAAAAAACTTACGTTCAAATTGACTAATGGTAGAGTTCTGTCTGCTTGTCTGGATAAGTTATTAATCCAGTCAGGCTGGGTTGGATTATTATTAGGTGCTAAAGTTGCAATGAATATTTGGTTACTGGGCTTATTCGGTCTTTGCTGTTTGTCTACTAAAAGCAGTAGGAAGAACATTGTGGTGTAACTTTTATTATTTTTGAACTCAACCAATTTTTGTTTTTTTACAATCAAAATTTAAATAAGATTTTGAAAGTTAAATAAACTGAAGTAAAATAAACAATTATTTTTTTTAATAAGCATAAATTTAAATTATAAACTTGACAATTAAATTACCCTTTTTGTTTCATTATACTAAATTACCTATTTATCCTATCAGCAGTTAATTTATGGCCATTTTCGTGTCAATTTTCATACGTTCGCAGAAGTGAAGTCGCGCTGCTGTGTATCGAGTTGAAGGAAAGGAAAGCAAAGCAAATACAATAACAGACTCAGCAGACTAAATATATATATTTAATTTTTTTACGTCATTTTCCCCATATTACATAACAGCTCTATCGTTAATATCAACTGCAAGTAGGGTTACCATTCCGAAATTTGAAGAATTTGACTTTTTAGTAACAAAACAAAGTCAAAAATATCTCACGCGACAGCAGTGATGCACAAACGCCCGGGCAACATAGTTTTTGTCGTAAATCGAGTTTTACTTCAGAAAAGCAACGTGGATATTTTTTTTTTTCTGAAAAATGTTACCCTAAGCCGAAAAATCCAGACACAAGGTCAAAAAGCTCGCCATGTCCGGACAAACCTGGACGGATGATAACCTTACCGACAAGGTAATTATGGCAAATCGTACCTTAAAAGCGTCTTATTTAGTGCAGTGAGAATGGTATAATTACTCAACTTATATTATTATTTACAAATCCTTCAGGCGTCTCCCTATCTCTGAGCTACTAGAATGGCTGCCAACTGACAAGAATCTCCGCCTAATCCCGGCCGAGAAACTGAACAAGGAAACAGCGTGGTATTGGCGCCACCTAGCGGAACATTTGCAAAAGATTGAAGATGATGAAACACTCGAAACCGTTCTCCCTGACTTGGTTGTACTTACTGGTTACATACGAGCGTAAGTTTTGTTATGGAATATTCTATTAGCATAATCAAACTCCACAACCCTTTTCTAGGCAAATAACAAATATACGGTAATCAGTGCGAATACATTGGAATAAAGCAGTTTTAAAATTGTAAATTTTTTCCGCTAGATTTACCTAAACTGTAAAAATCTTATTAGTTTTCTGTAGTTTTGTTCTTTATTGTTCGTATAAAGTCCTCAAAGCAAGGTATTTTTTTATTATTAAAACAATTAAGTGCACATTTGACCTCCATCTTATTTGATGAGCATGTGCACTTAAATATAAACTCGCCTTGAAAAGGCCCAAGTTATACCATTCAGGGAACAAGTCTGCAGGCAGGGGATTTCACTCCATAGCCGTTCGCCATATAAATGTGAAACGGTAACGCTTCGTGCGAATCTTTGCGATAACAACAAAATAGGGTGAAACTCCAGTCCAGGGTAACGTGGAATTAAATCCTGCGATTCCCTCGCACACTCTCCGAGATACATTCTGTAGAAATAATCATTTCTGAGTATGATACAATAGCGTAATATGTCACTTGACATGTAGTACACTTTGTGTGGCACATAATATATACTTTAAATTTCTGCGAGAATGTCATGCTACTTGCTGCATCTATTTGAATTCACGGTAACGTGCTATGATTATAATGTCATATTATGTTATCGTCATATTAATTTGGTATTCTTGAGACGTTTATTCTTCTATGTTTAAATATTGGCATGCCGAATACACTACTGCACAATATTTTTACGACACTTGTATATTGTATGCAGTAAATAAACAAATTAATTCTAAGTTTGAATAAAAATACTGTTCAGTCAGTCAATTCATGAACGCCTGACGGCAAGTGAATCAAAAATTCGTTTCCCATTATTTCGTTTCATATTAATGTTTAAACCAAAGGGATGCTAAGACTAATGACTTTCTTGGCAAAACAATAATAAACTTAGACTTTTATGACTTGTGTTATTGCAGTTTATTACTAACTTCTTTCTATTCGAGTTCTTAAGTTTTCACGATTGTTACACATTGGAAATAAATAATAAATAAATAATAACGCACACACTCAACATAGCCCCGCACTAGGGAAACCCTGTGTTGCGGGTGCCATGGACACACACATAGACAACCACAAATTACACCCAAACTCACGAGAGAAATAATTGTAGGCCATACAACTATTTCTCTCGGCCCGGGAATCGAACCTGGGACCTCTGCGTGGCAGTCCGGCATGGTAACCGTTCGGCCACGGAGGCAGTTAAAGGAGGAAATGAAATCATTTTTTCGGATCTAAATTGCGTATATTGGTTTTTTCAAACGAATCATACATGTTCCATGGTGTCCCAGTCAGTTGTGACTCCAAAGCGTTGGAAAAAGCCTGAAGCTATGGTTTGTTCTAAAAAGCAAATATTTGTTCAATACACATGTAAACAATTTAAACGCGTTTTTCTATCAACAGTATCGTAGAATCGCCATGTCCCATACAAACCGAGGACCCAGTAGGCTTTAGTACGCGGCAATACGTGCTACATGAGTTGGGATATATGCTACGTGTCTACGACGCCAGCGATCCGACGGGACGTGACGCCTTGAAGGCTCTTCTTACTGATATACTGACAGGTATTATTTTTACTAAAACGTGAAATACACAGAGAGCGGGTGCAGTTAGGGCGCGTGTCGGGTCAGCGCACGCCCCGACCTGCACCCGCGCTCTATGTATTGTCGTCCATATAAAAATACACGGAATTAGACCCGCCGCGGTCCCGACCCGACCCGACCCGCAACCGTTCAGTGTGTTTCACACTTCGGGTTGTATTCCAGAACTCTACTCATTGCTCAAGTCAGGATTTGAGTATGATTTCAAGCACTGGAAACACGACCCTAAACTCAAAGACTGGAGTATAATTTCTAGTACTTTAAATCATACTCAAGTCTTGACTTGAGCATTGAGTAGAGTTCTGGAAGACGACCCTAAAAGCTTTCTCATCGCTTATATACAACACAATTATTTTAAAATATTATGTACAAATCGTATTGTGGTATGTATTTCGCAATGAATCGATTGTGCATGTAGGTCGCATGAATTAGTAACAATAAGTAGGTTACACGAGACGCTGACTCTTAACTTATAGTAAAATTATAGTTTGGTGTTCATTATTAATTATTCGAAATTATTCATTACATCATTCAACGAACTACTGTCTATACTTCGTGTCACCATCTGCAATACCCTTTCATTGGACAACTTATCCGTCCACGATATTTTCAAAATTCTTCAATATACCCACATTTCGACGGCTTCTAAGCCTTCTAAGTGGTTGCTCTTATTTTGAGAGGTCTCTATGCCATGGGCATCGGGCAGGTGTATAGTACTCATGTCACAATGTGAATATGCATCTTCATCAACCTTTATCCGCTGCTGACATAACAAAAGTTAGGGACTTCCTTATTATTATTATAATGAATTTTTAACATGTATTTCAACACGATGTTTTTCTTCATGTTCATGATTTAGTGAACTAAACTGCAACAAAGGGGTTCTGTGTTGGCTTCAGTGGCAATTGAAGCCATGAACTGCAACACAAGAGGCGAACATACTCTCAAACGGCTTGTATGCACTAACACGTTTTTCTGTGAAAGTTACCCGTGTCTGGGCCTCTAGGTACATTTATAGATTGAATTCGAATAGCCTGTGTGCGGGTGTCTAGAAAAAGTGCTGAGAGTAGAACCAGTTTCCTTGCCAATGTGGCCGATAGCATATTATGCAAAATTTTGTTGTTATATTAGATATTATTGTTAGAAGAGTTGCAACATTCAGACAATTCTTTTTATGTTTAAGAGTGTTAAGTAAAATTATATTCGATTTTGTAAGTATTAAATAAAAGAATAATAAAAAACTGGTCTATTACTGCTTAAAAATAATATAATATCTTTCTAGGGGAATACGGTCCATTAAACTCCGAAGTTATCCGCGCATTCGTGTCTGCACTTGAAATGGTTGTTCCCGACGTTACTCAACGTATCGAGCTTGTCTACGGCGTTATTAGCTCGCTGCGAGACCCACCTGAGCCGGAGACATCCCCGCCGCCACCGCCACCAGCTGTTGATGATACAAAAGTCAAGTTAGAGGTAATATTATTCTATAAATAATTATAATACTCGTATATCGTTGGCTCACTGACTTGGAGACCTTGGTGGTCCAACACATTGTGACACACACTGGGCGCTGGATAAGAAGGTTCCAGGTTTGATTCCAGTGGCTAGGAGAAATAAAACTCGTTTCCACCGGCTTGCCTAAAATTTTCCACGTATGACCAAAACACTACTAGACAGCAGCAGCTCGCATACCCCACCACTTAAAAAAACTTATATTCAAAATATTCAATAATAAACGCGTAGTAACCTGTCCTTGACAATACGGAGTACTGTTGCTTCCCTATGGATCTCAGCCAATCACAGCGCGAGTCAAGCCGGCCGATATGTAACAAAAATATTATAATATAGTATTTCGTAAATGTTAAATGATAAACAGTCTTACAAATATAAAATAAATAAGAAAAAAAAAAGAAATATCCAATGCCCGTTTGGGTGTTTCATTTTAATATGGCTAAGCTCATGTTAATTCGTAGTTGCAATTAAAAATTTAGGGTCGTATTCCAGAACTCTACTCAATACTGCAATATTCGAGTCAAGACTTGAGTATTGCAGTGAGCACTGAAAATCATACTCAAGTCCTTGCCATTAGGGTCGTATTTCCAGTGCAATCCTGACTTGATCATTGAGTAGAGTTCTAGAATACGACTCTAAAACTACAACACTTGCATTCACGTTGTCGTCAGTTCGCGATACGAATGTTTGTTTATTATAATAAACAAACTTTCCTATTGCGATGGCAGCACAAAATGTAGTAACCTATAGTTATTTTATGTATGGACTTAGGTAACCAGTGAAATGATGTGTACAAGTATCTTGTGTGCTAATAAGTATTGTGTTTAAGTGTCGCCAAGGCGCCTTTTTAACGCGAATAGAAGTTTTTGTTAAAGTAAGTGTTTTTGTTTTTACTCCGGCTTTACTAACGACAATTTCACGTCTCGCCACTCTACTACACTACTATGCCTATCATTCCATCTCCAACCTTTTTTATAAAATACTTTTGTCGTGTTGTCCTTGATATGTGCCACAGAAATTTTATGTTACCTACAATAATATTTAATGTTTTCAATTTTTTATATTGTGTAAATGACGACTGCACTGCGAAAAATATGTATAGTTTTATGCACATTGTTTTGTTTTGTTAATTGTAAATTGAAAAGTGTAATAATAAATAAGTAAAATTAAAAAAAACCGTAATTTATTTCAATTAATGTTTTTTCTTGAAACCGTTGAGGTATTAGAACGTCCTAACTGCAACAAAATTGAAAGTTTAGACAGTTTGGATATTGTCGCCACACTTAGGGTCATATTCCAGAACTGTACTCAATGCTCAAGTCAGGATTTGAACAGCCTTGAGTATGATTTCAAGCACTGGAAATACGACCCTAATGGCAAGGATTTGAGTATGATTTCTAGTGCTTTGAATCATACTCAAGTCCTGAGCATTGAGTAGAGTTCTAGAATACGACCCTTAAAGTTCTGTCATAATGAAAATAAATATGCGACACTATTTTACGTCACAACAGCCTTTAATAGAGTATCAATTGTTCTCATATACCTCTTCCAACTTCATTCTACTTCATTGGCCTTACTATCATCATCCTAATAGGTTCTCGACCCCCCTGTATCTAAACCAATGGGATCCTCTGGTACACACACCCCAACAGCTCTTCCTCTGCCACCTCTTCATGCCTCCTTGTACCTTCAGCACAAATAGCGGGTTTCTTTCAAAATCTAGTTACTAGTTCGTGATACACTATATTCAGGCCATCTTAACAACAAATACTCTGTCTAACTGTAGTGCCAATCAACCAATGTACTCTCAGCCGACTTTATCTCACCTTCAGAATGTATAACGCCTAAATTGCTGGGTTAGTTCCCTACTCTCAGGTATCATAACAGACTGAATTTGTTAATTCTGATAATACACAACTAATACTAAATCGCGATTTAATTCGCGTTAGACACATTATTAGATATTTCAATAAATACGTTAATAAATGTTGATGTGAGGTCGTCCCGGATTAAATAGTTTCTCAATAATATTTATATTGATTTGCTATAGAACCGATTGACTCCTAAAATTTCATTTTACAAAATAGTTCACAAAGTTACCTACTTAGGATCGGGTAACTGATGTGATTGTCTCGCACATTTTTTTGCCCATCCACTCCTAAAATAAAAAATTAAGCGTAGTCATCTTGCTTTAGAGGTGAATTGGTGATGGCTTTACGATTCACACTGGAAGTTGCTGCATACTGCGTTCATCCAAGGAAAAATATATGGTCGATGTGATCACCCATACGACCATGATAAGTAACAACTTTTTGTTCATTCTAGAGAGCAAGACTCCGCGTGTCGCTAAACGTCGCCATTGAAGCGCAGGAGGAAGCTGTCCGTGAGCAAAATTACGCGCTCGCCGCTGAGTGCAAAGCCAAGGTTTATTTATATTTTATATATTATATTTTATTTACTTTATATGACGCATTTATCATAAAATACATTAAGTTCAATATTATGATTTTTCAGAATGAGATTATTTTGTTTTCAGATCTACATCGTATACATTTTCTTTTTAAACAAACCAACGTTTCTGGCCCTTCACAGGTGCCATGGTCAATGCTCAAACGACCCGAAACGTTGTTTTGTTTGAGAAACAATATAGCGATTTAGAGTCGAAAAAAATTAACATAATTTCCAATAATAATAATAATTCGTTTATTTGCTTAAAACATGGTATAACACAAGATGTTACAAGAGACAGTGCTAGTACAAACATGTTTCGCATATATTAAATAGCATGCAAATGTCTAGTCATATAATGTCAGTCAGACTACCAATGTGTAACAATCGCGAAAACTTAAGAAATTTTGATTTTGTTTAGGTGGAAGACATTCAAAAGAAATTAGAAGAGCTAACTATACAGCCAGCACCACCACCACCACCACCCGCCCCTGTACCGGTAAGTAATAACCCTGCTTTATTACGTACAACTAAAAAAACTACTGTAATCATACCATATTCACACTTGCACATGCTTTTACATACTTAATATGAATAGGTTAATAAAACGTACATGTATCGCCACATTTAGCGGCAGAAAAAGTGAGAACATAAAATAGTTAATTAAATAAGAATTAGACATAAAGTAGCAATTAAATTGACATCGACTTAGTACAGCCTTACTCAACGAAATTAAACATTAAAAAATTATAACAGTTTAACATTGATTAAACCATAGAACAATGGCGATTCGAATTTTTCAAATTATACTAAAGGCCAGTCTAAGTCTGGAAATTAAATCATATTGAAATGAAACCCGAATCACTAATTAGTATGTAACCGGACTGATATGTACAACAACAGTACAAACAAATTTTCAATTAAAGTTAATTTGTTGTGTGATATTAGTTAATAAAGTGTTTACCATGCTATCTCCACACTAAACACAAAAATTTTTACAAATACACTAAAAATAGTCTAAAAACTTTACTTCACCAATAAAATTTACTCTAAGCACATTTGCTCACTACATCCGAGACTATATAAATCTAGAAAACTCGGACCCACTTCGAATGTCGCTTGTGCACTAAGTCCGATTGCAATCCGAGAAAATACGTATATCGTTGTGCACCTAGAGATAGAATGATCCCTGTGACGTTGCGGACCGTCATTTCTTGGATTCGCAAACGCGCTAACTCAACAATATGCAAATACAACGATATACAAACATTACTCTTACAGACTATCAAGGAGAAGATTTCGGACGCAGACACATTGAACAAATGTTTGACAATATTGAACTGCGTGTTGGACACACCGCAACTCAAGAATGTAACGCCTATGCTTAAAATGATTTTCGAAGAACTAGAGGTATTTATTTTATGATCATGATGTTTGCAGATGTCATATTTACGAGTGAATCAAAATCCGAAAAAATAGTTTCACCTATATATAAGCTTGTTCGTTTTGAAATATTTATTTATATGGGGATTGTTTTTATCTTATTTGATTTGTGAAACTCCTGTTAATTATTTCAGGTAGAAATATTTCAAAATCCAGATATTCTAGAGACGGCTCTCGAAACTGTCGCGCTTTTCGGAATGTTGGACAAGGACATGGCCAAAGAAAATAAGGCGTTCTTTTTCGCTAATGTAAGTTTTTTGTAACCCATGAGTCTTATTTCGTCTTCGTCTTCAATCAAAATCTACTTAAATTAGATGCTAAATTAGAGGTTTATAAGTTTATCAAACAAGGTCCGAATTAGGGTCTCACCCCACATGTCGACACGCACTCGTATGAAGTCGGCCAAAAAAGCTTTGTCTTTGTAATTTTTATTTCGTTTTTGCGAAAATTATGTTGCGCAGTTAGCGAGCGGCTACAAAACGCGTAGCGTCTTTTTCGCTCTTATTGGATAGACATAAAGCTTTTTCTGACCGCCTCAGGGTGATCGCGTGTAGGGTTACCATCCGTCCGGATTTGCCTGGACATGTTCGGCATTTTGAATTTTTGTCCGAATTTTTCGGCTTAGGGCATTGACTTACAATTATACGGACGTCGGGTCCGCGCTAAAAAGTGTCCAAACTTATAGGGCGATAAAATCGTATTCAGAGCGCCATTCACGCTCTAGTGTTCGTTTGTTCGACTGACAGCGAAGCAAGCAAAATCAGACAGTACTGCGATGACATTACAATTTAAATTCAACGTTTTAGCTTTTTCATATTCCTTGACATGTCACTACGTTTAAATAGGTTGACTTGGGACATTTTTTTCGTGGTTTTTGTATTAGACCCGTCGTCCATTTATTTGTAAGCCAATGGCTTAGGGTGACAATTTTCATAATAAAAATTAAAATATCCACCTCGCAATTGCGACACTCGATTTATGACAAAAATTTTGTTCATTCTGTTGCGTTCAATCTTGTCCATCTCTGGTGCCGCGTGAGAATCGGTTGTCCGGATTTTCTTGCAAAGGTCAGGCTTTTTATCCCAACTATTCAAATTTCAAAATGGTAACCCTAATTTCGTATCGATAAATGTGGTGATTCCCTTATAATGCACCGTTTGTTTGCGCGATCAGTGTTATTTTCCCTTTCTCTTGTTAAAAGGGTGAAAATAAGCAAACAACATTTTTACTCTACAAGATGTCATTCATTAAAATAATCAGCAATTAGGCGTATATTCTACTTAAAACCAGTGCCAATCTTTTGTTTCCAGCTAATAGATACATCGAACGAACCTATAGTATCAACGGTACTAAAATGTCTAGTAGATCTACTATGCGTACACGGAGCGCGAGTCTTCGAAGATGACAGTAACAATGATACGAATAAAAGCAAGAATACTACAAGACGTTCGATGGACATTAATCACGATGGTTTGTACATACTTGCCGTAAAGTGTCCGATTAGAACTCTTAAGGACCTCGGTGGCCGCACTGTGACCGCTTTATAAGGGGATCCCAGTTCCTCGTCATCTTAGTGTCTAGAGTTGATTCCGTTGCTCTTATATAATCTTAGTACAGGGAATTCTCTAGTTTGAGTCCAGGTCCTCAAGTCTGGTCATTTTTAAAATACATTATTATTATAATACATTATCAGTGGCTAGCCATCGAGCTACTATTCAACTTCCATTGCATTTTTTTTTGTATTCTGCTCTTCAATGGCGATTCGACGACACGCCGATGGCGTAGTGTGTTAATATTATATATCGTCGGTGATTGTGGAATTACGCCTAACTAGCAATTGATTATGAGTTTCCGTTTCGGTAATTTAGTGTCAAATCAAAGCCGTGTATCGGTGGCGACCAAATTAGCGTTAAATCCCTCACCTGTAAAAATTTGGTTTGTGCAGATACGCGCCTTTTACCAATGCTACATACGCGGATTCGCACTATCCCCGACGATATATCTAATTTGAAAACTAAATTGTTGTTTAAACGAGATAAAAAATTATGACATGCGTAGTAATTTCCATAGAGGTTTTAGTAAGGCAAGATCGATCGTTAGTACTTGAATGTATGAATATGCCATCACGGACATTCCACTGAGCCTAAACTGCCATTGCAATTAGATTTTAACCGAATAGCAAATATTATCATAATTGCAATATAATCTCAGTGGAATTACAATGACCAAGAACATTAGCAGAATTGGGCCCCGAGTAATTGGTGTAATTGTCTGGCACGTTATTATTTTAGAGAATCAATTGTAAGTTATAATCAGCTGAGAAGTACTCTATAAGTTACTTATAAGTGAGATAAGAACATATATTATAAAAATGATGTAAGTCCATATTTTAAAACACTTAGTTTTTGTTTAAAAGTATCACATTTAATCATAAATCTTTCATTATTAAAGTGAAGAAACTCCAATAATTGTACTAACATCCCATAGATGGCATTACTAGTTTACTCAGAGAACTAAAATTACTACAAATTAATTTGCTAAAAGCTCATTATTTCAAAATTTTATTACAAGGAGTTAATTCACTTTTACAGTGAACGACACATATTATACTGTGCTTGAATAAATCGTACATAAAGAAAAATGATGAAATTTCATGTAATTTATTCGAGAGTTCAGTTATGATAGACATAGGAAAATTACTCCACAATGACGCATAAAGGACGCAGTCGGCAGCTTTTGAGACCAGTCGACTAAACCATGTAGTCCATTGTTTCATTCTCGCCCTAATAAATTTGTATAGTTTGCATTTTACGTCTCTTTTTATTTTTAGGTACTGTCTCCGAATCTGTGATATCAATGTCGCCGGACCACAGCACGGTTATCGAAATTTTACTTAAAATCATGGATGTCAGCGTAAGTTACCAAATATAAAGTAATAATTATATAAATTTAAAAAAGAAGTAATAATTTTCGCTAAACCCTAAAACGAAATAGTCCATATAAACCACGTTTTACTAAGTAAATATGCACAAATCATTCGACAATAGTTGATTAAATGCGTTTATGTGAGTACAGTGCCTCCACTATGACTTTATTGTGACAGTGCAAAATAAAATAGTTTACAATACGACGTGTGTGGTGTTTTGATAATACACCTTTATTCGGTATTTCGGATTTTTTAGTGGTGTAAGACCAATATTTGCCACGATCACCAGTAATAGTGCTTGCGCACTATACAACCGATTCGTGTCAGTTCCGAATCTGAGAAATGACGGACCGAAATGTCACAGGTGTCCGAAGTGTCATTTTATCTAGGTGTACAAGTAACAAGCAAGTACAACTGTAAAGTATGATAGAAATAGTAGTTAACGATTGAACGACTACAATCAACCGTATAATTCAATAGTATGACAAAGGGTGGTGCCTCAAAATGTTCCAGGACTTCGTTATACAATATCGTGAACGTGAGCGAAGCTTGTGTGGGTGTACCATCGAGTATATAACCAGAAATAGAGATGAAATGTCATTTAACTTGTTTGAAAACTATTTTGCCATATTGTTGCTCTGATGACTGCACTCCGATTGGCCAACTCGAATTCGAAACAATTGACGGGTGTCGTCAATTGTTTCACTTCAAATCGACCAGTTAACTTTAGCTTTGCTAAAAAAGACGAAATATGCAAAATTACATATAAAATTTGATTGAGTTGTAATTTTTTTAATTAGTTGTTTTACTGTTTTTCCCCACACCACCGAATGGAACAGCACGCCATTGTTAGAGATATTGTCTTTGTTACAATAAATACAAAAGATTTTTGGAATATACAGAGACGTACACACAGGTCATTTGTTGGCGCTGTACTATTTCAGTTTTCTAATTTGTAATTTCAGTGCAAACGAGAGTTGATAATTTATAAGTGATGTATCACTGATGAGTTACCAGAAATATACGGCCTTATTTCTTCTCTATTTCTGGTTATATACTCGATGGTTTACGCTCGCTGCGCGTCGCGTACGGACGCACATTCGCACTCTTATTCACCATATAATTCTATTGGTTTTATTATACTGTGCTAATACTTTCTCTACTATATGTGCAAGCAAGACTGTAATAGTTTTTCACACTATGCATTGCCGTTGCCAATGTACGCTAATCAAACAGATACACCAAGTGTGTGATTTACATTAACATTGACATAATCAGCTAAACACGCAAAAGTCTGCCTTTTTTATAATTTAATAAAATATAATTGTTGTTTTCAGTGTGCGGCGTATAGACTTATCATAGTTGAGGGTCTCTGTCGACTGTTGTATTTGGGACATCTAGAATCGCCCACTATACTTTGCCGACTGCTGCTGCTTTGGTTTAACCCTGCTACAGGTTCATACACTATTTATGGAAAATATTACACCTTCGTTGCACCGAAATTTTAACAATTATTTTAAAAAGCGTGACAGTTCGTCATCTCACTTTCGACTCGTATCTGAAGTACAAAGTAACTGAAATATAATTACAATTTTCAGGCTGATTTCACATCACATTTCCTTCATGTTCACATGTTGGCTTTTACCTATTCTTAAAATAATGCATACAAATTTCAAATTAACACCATTGATAAGAAATTAAAAATATGTGGAAGTTTTTGCCATCTCCTGAATAATCACTCTTTATAAGATACGTGTTCGAGAAAGTAAGGCATCGAAATTATATTTGCATTTATAGATGCTGTGAAAATCGTGAGAACCATATTTCTTTTTATATTTACTTTGAAAGTGGATACTAGCTCAACTTCGAAGTCCAACAGTAATTTGTCAATCTTAAACAAACTTCCTAAAATATGAAACTGGCTTTTGTTTTGCAGTTAACGTGTGATTTAATTTTTGATTTTTCTATGTGTAGTTTTCATATACAAATGTTTGTTTTAGTGGAAGAAGACAATCTACGTCAAACTATAGGCGTTTTCTTCCAAACTTTCCCTGCCTCCGTGGATGGGGCACAGGATCAAATACAGGTAAATGCACTTTGTGTACAATTATATGTAGGTTTTGTGATTATAGAGGTCAAAATGCCTTAATAATTATTTTTTTGGCAACATCACGTTAACAATGGCTATCTGAGCTATATGGCGGCATATGCAGGTGCAAAAGGCTGTGCTCTAAGACATAGGGGCCTTATAGTTGCTACTAAATTCCCTTCAGTTGACCTGACTTTACCTACAGAATTTAGTTGATTACTTCGTCACTTGACACTTGTAAACCAGCCATTACATGAAGTCGAACCAATCAAGTAACAGCTTCTCGGGGCGACTGTGATAGCGCTAACTTGCTACCAAGCTTCAGATGATCCCGTTGCATGTGTATTATTAAGGTATGCAAAACTGTTTTCGTTTTTATACAGAAAGCAACATTGCCCATACTACGTGCTCTTGCCAACGCTCCGTCGAGCTCTCCATTAGCTGAAATAGACCAAGAAGCTGTTGTTAGATTCATTGTATCTCTAACCAGAGTCAATCATGAGGTATGTGTTCCATGTTGCAAGATTGTCTTGTCATATTGTGAAAAAAATCTGTACTTATTATGTGTAAAACTGAATCTTTAGAATAGAATTCTTCTAAAAATATCCCAATACTAGGCATATGTAAAGTCTGCCGATGCCAAAGATGTATCATGCAGTAACTCAATCTCTATTTCAGTTGACAGATAGCCAAGGCGGCATGGCAATGTTACTAACAAACAGCCTCGCGCGACGGCCTACTGCGGCCGAAGCGGGTCTCGTTTGTCGCATGCTCGCGTTGCTCTCTCCGCCGAGAGAGGCAAGACTCGCTGCAGAGCTGGCCAACACACTGAGAGATGTTTGCTTGGTCAGTATTCAGAGTTGGCTTGTGAAATGTACGTTCGTACTATGAACTTATATATCGTGTACGCAAGAGCTTTTCAATTCAATTTCACCTTCACAGTGCCCACCTTCGATCGACTTGAAAGTCTAGAACACTCCGTCCTAAATTGTAACTTCATGAAAGCATGGGACGAACAAGTCGTGTGCGCCGTGTTAAGCGACACGCCTGTCCATAGCACTGGTATGGCAGTGCCACTCAGAGCTTTAAATCGCAAAGATCTGAGGATCACTGCCAGTGCACCCTTCACCCTGAAACATAAATTGACAAGTCGCATGTACCTGTAATTTCATCAAATGAGAACTTTGAGTAGAGCCTGCTCCCAACGATCCTGTCGTGACTTGCAAAATATCCATGTCTGCAAAACTCTGCACCGATTGATGTTGGATGCGTAAGCAGATATTTAAAAATTTACGAATGCAGATACAGACGTCTGCAGCATCCCTACTACAAACGGTTAAAGTATATAACATTTTTTATTCATACGTGTCATGATGCTGCAAATTTGTGCCAGCAATATTTTTAATGATACAGAAGGCTTGCTAGAAGTCATCTAATAATTATATTATAGTAACTGTTTTATTATTAAATATAGATTGAATGATAGAAAGATTTGCTTTTCAGAAACTTCCCGACAGGCAATCGAGCCGAAATCTTACACGTTATTTAGGCGCCCTGGAAGCCATGGAGCGAGCTAGCCTTAACAAGTTATCTCATACCGGTAGGTTATATTATCGGGAATAATAAAAGTTGTGGTTTGTCAATCGCCATAATGAAATTATTTCCAATAAACTTAAAAGTAACTTCATTATTTTTTTTCTATTAAAACACGACATTTTGTTTAGCTCAAACCTCAAAATTACCTCAGCTCGATTTAATTTTGTTCTCGTACTAATACGGTTCATTTTGCTTGAGTCGAGCAGTAGCGACACTGATTTTAATTCGGAATTTATTTTTTTAAAAACGGAATTAAAACCATTTCACTGTAAATCGTATAATCTGCGTGTTCTATTTAGTTCTATTGATATAAAAAAAATCATTGTAAAATACCTATTGAACACTGCGGTTTTCTTGTAAAATTGCGAAGTAACTTTGGTTTTTTTTTATCGTGAAAAACTTTATTAATCGTGTTTTAACACCGTATACTAATCAGTGTATATCCTTAATTTTATTATATATTTTTTCCAAAGTGATTGTTTCAACACTCACTGTTATACGGAATGAACCAAAGCCATTTGACGTCGTATAGACTCTTAAGAATAAAACTGAAACTAAATAAGAATTAAAAACTATGGCTTATAGGGAGTTGTTGTTTCGCTAATTCCAGATACTCACTCCATTTCGCTAAAAATGTCGATTGCGTTAGTCATGATAAAGAGGGCAGAGTTGAAGAAATTATATTTGGGTAATTCCATAGCGCATGTAACACCCGTTACTTTGGCTACAGGTTGCATTTAGAAATTCTGCCGGCTAGTTGACCAATGCAAAAGTCAGACTTTCGACAAACAGGTTCTGTCTTTCAGGTTCAGTTACTATTTAAACCCCTGTTTCTACTAATTGTTCGTCAAAGTAAAAGCTTGAAGTCACCATTTGTGCTTATAATCTGACAAACTTTACAATTTTGTCATTTAATTCACTATTTGTACTCATTTGTGGCTCTATTGAAAAAGGGGTACAAGTCAAAAAAGCCAATTTTACAAGGAAACGCGATAAGCACTTAACGTTTAATTACGTAGCTTTAAGCTTTAACTGTTTTTCGCATCTCCTTGTAAAGTTGGCGTTTTTGACTTGTACCCCTTTTCGCTAGAGTCACAGAGATAAATTATTTTTCAAACTCTTGATAGTATTGTCATTTAAACATTGTTTCTACCTATTATTTGTGAAATTAAGACAGCGTACTATTTAAATACTACGTTTACATCTCCAGTTGTTATTATAAACTTATTTAAAGGAAGTTTATGAAAGGGTGCAAGAACCGTGATTTTTGTTAATGACCCATTTACTGTTTGTAACAGGCATTGTCGATGGCACCATGCAGAATGAAGATACGATGTCCATTGGCCGCGCGACCACTTCACTTCGTAAGTACACTACAAATTCACTTATTTAGTTGTGTCAGAAGTTAGCTGTAGGAATAACGCGAATGTTTCGGTTAATACAAATCAATTCTGTATTAATCTGAAACACCTAATTCAAAAGTGAGTTAATAATGAACACACTTAACATAGTCTTGTACTAGAGGCAAACTCTGTGGCGCGGGTGCCATGGACACACACATAGACAACCACAAATTACACCCAAACTCACGAGAGAAATAAATGTAGGCCATACAAATATTTCTCCCAGTTCGGGAATCGAACCTGGGACCTCTGCTTGGCAGTCCGGTATGGTAACCGTTCGGCCCCAGAGGCAGTCAAAATTAGGAAGTACTTAATGAAATCATTATTTTGTTAGGTGTAACCTCCGGTACGCTTCGTTACCGGCCGACGAGTCTTTTATTCCAGTTTCTTGCAAGTATGATATATCTAAAGTTTGTTTTTTTATTGAGTCACACTACATATTGCCATTTAAAAAATATTTTGATGTTGAATCATTTGTGTAGTTACGCATATAACATTGTTTTAATACAGTATGTACATTTTTGAAATAAGCACTTTTGAATACGTAAAATCACTATTTGAGATTCATTGACATCGTTTATTAGTTTTTATCAAAGCCCAGCAAGCGGTGCTTTCTTGCCACCCACCCAAGAACAGTTCCCTTATTTACAAAGCATTAAAGGGTGCTGGTGAAATTACAGGCACTTGGGACTTGTCACCTTATGCCTCACGGGCTCAGTGGCAGTGCCGTTCAGATTTTTGCGATTTAAAGCTCTGAGTGGTATTTCAACTGTCATGGATAGGTGTATCGCTTACTACCAACTATACGACATGTTCGCATCGTTAATAAAACATAAAAAAGACGCATATTTCCGAACCATAATGAAATATTATCATGTTAATTATCCGATAATTATCCTTGCTGATTCATAGTTTTATCTCTCTAATTTTTCAAACAGTGTGAAAATCGAATAAACGCGACGAAAAATCTTTGGGAAAACAATTTGGTTTAGAAAATTTATATATTTATACATTTGACACGTTTGGATACACGACGTTGATAGCGGTAGCATTTTATTGTTCCCATTAAATAATTTATAAAGATATCAAGTTATCCTGTTAAATAAGAAAGGCTACTGCGCTGCGATAGGGAATCAACATTCCGCCTAGGTAACGTTGTGTTTACTATTGTATTCATAGTATGCACCAAAAATTATCCAAACACATTTCTCATTTAATTTGCACAACTACTTCGGTTGTTATATTCAAGTAATTACATACTAATTATTATTAAGTAATTACTTTGAATTTCAGCTCAACCTATAGCCCGCAGCACTCATGTGGTAATCAATGAAACGGTAGAAGAAGAGATGGAAATTGACGAAACATCACCCGTAGAGCGTATTTCCAAAATAAATAAAGGTACGTCTCCTTATTTACTATAAATTATAAAACTAAGCTTATTACACCATCCCTCTTTTAACCTTCTAAGGCCCTGTGTACATCACAATGTACCATCAACAGCACCTCAACCTATACACTTTTATACGAATATGGCGTCCAGTGCACGGAACAAGATCCGTCAATGTGTAACTTGATGTGCACATAATATTATTATGTAAAGTGATTCAGGCCCCACACAATATTATTCCTGTGATCACATAAACGCCTATAGTTTGTATACTTATACGTAATATTAAAGAATGGAATATAATTCGTTTAGACCGTGACCCATAGTAATGGTAGTAATACTGTAATTTTTTGTGCTATGTTTAGTACAATACAAAATTACTTAATGCTAGAGAAATGCCACGTCTAGACCACTACGCGTGTTGTTGCACCCAATGTTGTTGGTAGGGGCAGTCCAGCCTGTTCGTGTGAACGTCTAGGATGGTATTAAAACGCTATTAAAAATATCGCATTCCAATTTAGCGCTATACATATGTTATATGATCATAAGGTATCTAAAATAATTCTTTAAAAAGTCCCGGTTGAGGTTTTTATACGTGAGGCGCCCTATAAGTTTCCGGAATGAATAAGAAAAAAATACTATAAATGGTCAGAAATGAATTTATTGTTTCTCAAAATATTCTCCGTTAGCGTTAATGCACTTTTTCATACGAAAGAACCAATTTTGAAAACATTTATGCCACTCCTCCGTGACAATCTCTGAAACATATTTTTCATACTCTTCGACAGCCTCTTCAGGTGATGAAAATCGTTGACCGCGTAACTGGTTCTTAATTTTTGGAAATAAATAAAAGTTTCGGCTCATCTCGAAAGACCCTTACGCTCGATTGCTGCTTTGTTTTGGGATCGTAACTATAAATCCATGTTTCGTCATCTGTTACTATGTCCCACACCAAATTTGACGCCCCTTCGTTGAATCTGGTAAGCATGGCATTGCACCAAGTGACGCGATCCGTTGTTTGAGCCTCAGTCAAATTGTGTGGGGTCCACCGAGAACACAGCTTTTCACACCCAAATGTTTGTGTAATATTGATTGTATTTGACTCATGCCTATGCCTAAAGATGCCCGAATCTCATGGTATGTCACATGCCTGTCTGTTTTGATTATACGGCGCACAGCATGGATGTTTTTGTTGCTCACAACAGTGGACAGGCGACCATTACGAAATTCGTCACTGAGATTCACACGACCGCGTTTGAATTCTGCAAACCAGCCAAAAATAGTCTTCTTGCATGGTGCTTCATCGCCAAAAGCAGTTTGAAGCCGAGCGAAGCTCCGCTGAGCAGTTACATTACACTTAAAGTCGTAGAAAATCATACTACGAAAAATTTCACGAGTTAAATCCATATCTATGGTTAAATCCATGGTGATGTAGACAACCAATTTCTAAAATGACGCCACAATGTAAGAAATGTATAATGTACGTAATGTATATAAGAAAGTGGAACTCAATGGCTGTATTCTACAGCCAAAGAGTTCCACTTTCAAATGTTGTAATTACTTTTTAAATATTGTTTATGTAGTGGCCAGTTCCGGAAACTTATAGTGCGCCCTATGTACAAAACTGAGGGCAAACTTGCTTCGGTTTGAAAAATGTAATTTTATTTATATATTTAGAACATTTTATGCACATTGGGCGTTTAAAGCCCTTTCCATTGTAGTTTTATGGGTCTTGGGAGATTAACGTCGGAACACCAGATTTAACTAGTTACACAGTTCCAACTACATGTCAAAAGGTTTCTAATCATTTTTGATGCTGCACACCTTTGTACCAAAGTTTGCTTAACCTGTACCTTTTTTATGGTTTTCAATAACAACCGCCGTTGTTATTGAAAACCATAGGAATACATAGCCTGTTCGTTAATTAGTAATTATATTGTATTGTTTATTTATTGTTTTATAATTTGTATTTGTTTGCAATTTTATTTTTCATTGTATTGTACTAACCTTGTTTCTAAGTTCTTTTACTAACAATTTATGAGTAATTGTTTTTGTCCAAAAATAAATAAATTGTCTATTTTTGGGTAATGTCTTTCCACTATTAAGCTAATATTAAAACCAAGATCAAAAATAAGCCCATCAACACTAATTAAACAATACAGTCTAGCTAAACAATCTTCAAATTATAATAAATCTGAGGAATTATTAAAAATCGAAGAATGAATTTAAATTTATGTACAATTTTTTGTATATTTATGTAAGTACTTTTGTATTGGTATATCTCAATAATTTCTTTTAATTAATTATGTTTTTTGCATTGTTTTATGTAATTATTATGTTTACCTTTGTTTTATTCTTTATGTTATTATTTTATACCTTACGTATGTGTGTATACGATTCATATGTATGCTACATGTTATAATCACTTTAACATGAGATAGATTCTTGTTTCCTTCTCTTTTCTACATATCTACCGCACAAAGAACCAATAACTCCTGTAATACTAGTTTTTACTTAGTTTAGGAGTTCACTGACCTGTGTTTTGGCGACAGTAATCAGTTAGATCACTGTACGACTTAAACATGTCAAAAATTTGTACTGTTTAAAAAAATACATTGTATTTGTACAATATATTTATTTTTTAGTATTTATTATTATTGTAAATTATAACTCTTATTTAAAGAAATAGGGCAGACTATACCTGAGGAAAGTCCGAAGTCGCCACTCAATACTTCCGGTTCGGACAGCGCAGCAGCCGATGCGGCCGACGTGCCTACCGATTCCAGTAGCGGCATTTCACCTGTCAAAAAGGCTAAGGTCTCCAAGAGTAAGTTCATTTTATTTTATTTATCCGTGAGAGTAAACATGGTATCTTTGTTATTACCGTTGCGAAGTGGTAAAAGTGTTCCGTATTTGACAGTTTGCGGAACAGAGTAATTACGCAAAAATAGATGTTAAATTTTGACGCTCTAGCACGACTACGGAAGAAAAAAAACAATGGAAGGCCTTATGCCTCGATTACCATCAGAACCGCTGTCACCAAAACTGACACATTCATAATTTGAACCACTATGAAATCTTGATAACGATTAGTCGTAGTTTCAATTAAAAAAAAAAAACAAATTCTGGACTGTTAATGTATTTTAAACTTTATTCTGTTGGCATGTCGTTGAAAGTTCAAAAATATCATTTTATATTGAAATGTGTGATGGAGATGTTTATTTAGTTCTTCAAAAAATAATAAACAAAAATACGATAAACAGACAATATAAAATGTATTAATATTAAATAAAAGATTAATTAAATTAAATAATTTGGCCAGACCGGCAAAATGATAGTGACGGAGTGAAGATATTTGTGTTTTCCATCCGTTACTCTCATCTCTGGACTGTATTCGCACTTTCCATCAGGCGCGGTGCAGTCATTTTGCCGAGACACAATAAAAAAAAATAAAAAAATAAAAAATAAGACTTAATGATGATACGAAAGACCGCCATAATTATAAAAAAAAAATGTAATGATGTAACATTCTCCTGACCGTTTACGGCTACGGCAACTGCTTCAACTCCGCTGTTGGTAGTGGTCGTGCGCTCTCACGTGGATCACATAGCCAATCTTATTAGTAAAGACCCGTGCACATAGGGGGCACGTGAGCACACCATAAACGAAGTGGTGAATAAAGTTATTTGTTATGCGAGGCTGCAAAGTTGTTGTTTGACACAAGTGTTTGTATTGAAACCTGAGCAAACGTAGAAAGCTAAGATTAAATAGATTCCTGAGCGTAACGAGTCACGAGACGTAAGACAACTTTGCTGCTGAGCGAAACGCACAACTTTTCACATTACTATAGCGAGGAAAATGGTAGATGAAAGGAAAACAGTTGAACTATAAAACATCAAGTTCTTAGGTTTTTGCGATTGTTACACATAGGAAATGAAACTATGTTTCCGGATTTAAATCGCGTATATTTGTTTTTTCAAACAAACCGACGTTTCGGGCCCTTTACAGGTCCCATGGTCACGGTCAATAGTTTCATTTCCTATATAAAACATCAGCTTTTTTTTATCAAAAGAAAAAGTTTATCTTCGGATGCGTTCTAAATTTGCACTTCATCAATTTTTATCCTTGCTTGTACTTATAATTTTGTGTGACTATGTGATTATTGAAATTATTCTAGTTCTTCAATTAATTACAATAATTTAATAAACACAATTAGTTATCATTGTCCTTTTTAATGTCAACAAGAATAAGAATAAAATATGCCAACGGATTTATATTACATAAATCAATCCATATATTCTTTTTTTTTTTCATCGAAACAAAAAGATGCACCGCAGTCAGTGTTGGGCAAAATTTAATTGTTCTGGCAATTAAAGATTG